CCTGACCTCCCACGACTCGGCTGCTTTTCTTGCACGAGGATTCCTTCGCGGCGGGGCCTGGTTTCCTGTCTTCAGTGACCTGAGGAAATGTTGTATCGCCCAAGCTCGCCCAACGTCATTCCAGCAACAGACTAACCCAGCTCACCCCCTCTTTGCTGAAGGGACTTGTAGATGCGGGGCAGGGGGAGGCTGAATTATGCACGTGCCAAAAGCGCCTTGCTGCAATGAGGGGCCATGCCTAGGCCTGCGATGCTCCCCCTCCCTCAGTGAAGCCCAGTTCATAGTATTATTAACGGGGGTAATCTTCACAAAGCAAACAGTGCGGGTGAAGCGTGCCAAATGAAGAGCCCTGAAGACCGCGCCGTCGCTGGCAGAAGTTTGATGCAGTCAGCTTAGAAAGGTGCATGTTTTTAACAGCGAGGGCAATTAACTCCTGGGATCATTTACAGAGGGACCAGTGGGATTCCTGGAGTCTAAATCCAGACTGCCATATACCATCCTGAGCCTCCAACAGAAGCTATAGGCTCCCTGCAGTTATTACTGGGGATGTTGTCTGGCCTCCTACCCAGAGGTCCTACTAACCTCATCTAGCTTTAACCATCTGTTCTGCTCCATTCACCTGGTACCAGAAGTATCTGTCGTTAACCTGGCAGGGGAAAGACCATGCACCTGTGTCCGCGAAGGCAGCTCTCCTATAGCACAGCCACGGAGAACTGCTCTTCTGGCGTGGTTCAGGACCCGCCAGGGGACAGCGGGTTTAAGCCCACTTAACGGAAAGGGGAGACTCCTCCCCACTAGGGCTGTGCGAGGATTTGGACCACACTTTGGATCCAGAGGCTTCGGCGTCTGAAACAGCACGTCCAAATCGAAGCGCTGGCTTCGTTAGGCTTTCCAAACCGCCTCGGAGATCCGGCCATAGGGTATAACGGGGAATCAATGAAATATCTATAACTTCGTTGTTTTTTTGTCTGATTTGGATGAAGCTTGCAGGAACGGTAGCCTCTGCCCAGAGCGTGAAGCCTGCCAAGTTTCAAGGAGATTGGTGCAGGACTTGGGGAGGAGCTGCACCTCAAGGTGCTGACAGGCACAACTCGTGACATGGATGACCCTGCGTGTGTTCAGGCACAGCGGGCTGAAAACTGCCGGGGTGGTGGCCCCTGCTGAGGCCACGAAGCCTGCCACGTTTCAAGGAGATAAGTGCAGGGGTTTGGGGGGAACTGCCCCTCAAGCTGCTGACAGGCAAAACTCATGCCATGGGTGCCACTGCGTGTGCTAAGGCACAGCGGGGCGACAGCTGCAGGGATGGTGGCCCCTGCTGCGACGGAGATCGGTGCAGGGCTTCTGGGGCCTGCACCCCTAGCTGCTGATGGACAAAACTCGTGCCATGGGTGCTTGTGCAACTGTGTCCCTCTTGGGGCCATTGCTTGTCTGTATTGATTCTTTCCTCTCCTTAGCCTGTGGTTTTGTAGGTGTTAATCGTTGCTTGTTAACACCTACAAAACCACACACTAAGGAGAGGAAATAATCAATACAGACAATCAATGGCCCCAAGAGGGACACAGTTGCACAAGCACCCATGGCACGAGTTTTGTCCATCAGCAGCTAGGGGTGCAGGGCCCAGAGCCCCCCTGCACTGATCTCCTCCACAGCTGGCCGGTGCTATGAGCACAGCAGGGGCCACCATCCCTGCAGCTGTCGCCCCGCTGTGCCTTAGCACACGCAGTGTCACCCATGGCATGAGTTTTGCCTGTCAGCAGCTTGAGGGGCAGTTCCCCCCAAACCCCTGCACTTATCTTCTTGTAACTTGGAAGGCTTCGTGGCCTCACCAGGAGCCACCGCCCCGGCAGGTTTGACCCCGCTGTGGTGTGACACATACACGACATGAGTTTTGCTTTCAAGAATTTGGGCTGCAGCTCCCCCTGAACCCCTGCACCGATCTTCTTGAAACTTGGCATGCTTCATGCTCTCAGCAGTGGCTACCATCCCTGCAGGTTTCATCCAAATCAAACAAAAAACCAACAATGCTATAGATATTTAATTGATTCCCCATTATACCCTATGGCCGGATCTCCGAGGCGGCTCCAAAGCTTTGCAGCCGCTTTGGCCAGATCGAAGCAGGAACCCGGTCCGGAGATCCACATCGGATCACGGCCATCCAAAGTGACCAGATCCAAAGCCGGATCAAATAACTGCCTACTCGCACAAGCCTACTCCCTACCTTGCTCCTGCAGCCAAATGGCTGAGGGCATCTGAACCCCCTGGGGCATCCCAACCCCAACCCCAAGCCTCCAGACTTGCGGCTGCGCATAGGATGCTCACCAAAGGATTTGGAAACATCTGCAGCCCCAGGTGGGGTGGAGGATGCTTTCCGGTAGTAGGGCCACTTATGGTTCTGGACTGCCTTGTGGATTTGGGATTTGATTTGGCTGTTTTGGCTTGGAACACCGGTGAATTTAAGAAAAAAATAAAATAAAATCGACTACCAGAACAGCATAAGCCAAACTCCCTTCCTGGCCAACATGCACCAGTCTAGACCTGCAGCTACCTGGAAGAGTGAAACAAAGAGGAGCATCGCTTCAGTCCATTCGTTGTGTGGTCTCTCTACTGAGGATACCACATCGTCTGCCTTAGGGGCATGAGTAGGGTGGCCATCATAGAGGTCAGTTCGGTTGTCCTCTATTGATACGAAACCCAACACCTTGATGTCCTCTATTTTTCTCTTGAAGAAATGTTTCCCTTGAAGAGAAAAATAAAGAACATCAAGGTGTTGGGTTTCATATCAATAGAGGAAAGAGTCCTCTATAATGGCCACCCCAGGCATGAAACGTTCATATTGCCCATGAAGAACTGGCCTGTGTACGTACCAAGCACTTCTCTGTCACTCAGGCTAGGTGTGCAAGGTGTCAGACACCCTTAGTCTAACCCTCACCCTAACAACTCAAAGGAGAATTGAGATCACTCAGGATCTCGTGGGATCATCTGGGTAGATTTGAACTGGTGCTCTGAAGGCAAGAAGGCACCGGATCTCATTCCCGATCTCTAGCAAGTCCTTCTCTCCGCCTGTGAAGATGGCTTTCAAGTTTGAACAAGATGTCTCTTTACATGCAGTAAAGGATATTGGGCAAGGGGGCTATTTGGGAACCGCTGGCCCAATGCTGTTCTTTCAGAGAAGAATACAGCTGGCTTGGAACGGTTGCAGACCAAACTATAAAACAAAAAGTAGGTCGTATTTTGGGCAGGGCAGAAAAATGCATTACAATTAGACCTACAAACTAGAGCCCAGAGTGGCTGCAAAAGCTTCCTGAGGACCTGGGAGGCTCTGCAAGTCTGGTGGGCCCGAGGAGGAGGTGCGTGGGGGCTCGGGCAGCGGGAGGAAGGGGAACTGGTGCACTGCCTGCATGTTTGGGGCACGTAAGGATGAATTTCCCACCTCTAGCGGTCACACACATTGGAGCAGGGCAAGGTGGCATTCAAACACGGAAGATAAACCGCTATTTAAAAAGCATCTCCTCATTATTCTTGTTTGGACAACTGCATGCCTTTTGGGGTTCCAGTTTATGGTAGCCAGGCTCCAGGACTGGCACGACTGACCACGGCACTTAGATTACCAGGGGGGCCGATGACTGATTCCACGCTGCATTTTCAGTAGCACAAATGCTGTTTCAGTTTATGCTGTTTTCCTTAACCAGTAAATATTTTCTTGGCAGGGTAACTCGGTGGGCTGGCTGACGCTCTGGCACAGATCATTGAGCAAGCGTGCCAGCTTCTTGAGGCAAACCCTATTTGCGTAATGCACTTACCAGACTGTCCCAGCCAGTTTCACAAGTCGGCTGAGGCCGTGGGAGAACCGGCTGGGGGGGAAATGCATCGGGAAAGAAGCTGGTGAATGCTGGGAATAAAAGATCCAGGCTGGAGCCAAGGAATAAGCCCCTTCATTTCATCTCCCTTTCCAACAGCAGCAGCGGTATTATTATACTGCGGTAGCATTCAAGGGCCCAGGCCATATCGGACCCCACACACACTGGAGCAAGGGCTCTTTTACTAAGACAGGCATCAGGTGGGAGAGAAAACAGGCACAGGCGTGGGAAATGAGTTCCCTGAAGTCACGCACCCGACAAGTCAGGAGCAGAGACGAGATTAAAACCTTGGTACCGTGGATCAACCCTTCACCACTGGACCAGGTAGCTTCTCCACTGAGTCATTCACATATGACAGGGGCGGCAGTTTGGATATTGCAGTGGTGGCCTATGGGGAGGGCAAACCCGACCCCAACATTTTGCAGCAAATATCCGAGTTGCTTATAGGGCATCAAAATTAAGCCTCTAAGGGGCCCCAAATGACTCTTGCCCAGGGCCCCAACAACCCTACGGCCACCGCTGGATATTGAATGCTCAGATCCCCTTTACAGGAACGTAACACACCAGTCAGGGAGCGGGTTTTTTTTAAGTGATATGTTTTAGGCTTAAAATTGTACGTGAAGGAAAGAGAGGATAAGCATCATGAGCCACACGTTAAGTGCATCTTCTTGTATTCTTTATATGAAGAAGTGGTTATTTCTCCCGTACTTCAAATGAAAACAATCTTTTAAAGGTGAGCTTCTAAATGCATCTACATGTTTTTAAAAAGATTTTAGAAAAGATTAAAATTCCCAAGATGTACGGTCTTCCCACCTGATTGCATTCACAGAGTCTGTGCAACAAGCTGAAGCCAATCCGCACGTAACACTTTGCACACGTGGTTTGACATTATGCCACATCCAAGTAGGAAGAATATTTACACTATTTCCAGCTCTTCATAAACCATTTTTCTAACCCTCTAAATTTATATTAATCACACTACTGTTCGAAACGAATATTTTTTACAAGGAAATCACGTGTGCTTTGGCAGGAAGACTTAAAGCAGGGAGGCTGACAGTGGATATGATAAATCTCAGAACAAAAAGCCCCCAACAATTTATTGGTGCATTGAACAAACTGCCCAGACGACGTTATGATAAAATGTGTTTATTTTTTTAAATATCAAATTTTTTACACATCAATTTTCTTGAGAAACAGTCCCCCGATATTTAAAAAAAAATCAAAATAATGAATCAAGTGTGTATTACTTAGGGCAGAACCACATCCCCTTACCTGATCAAACCGCCCCTCCTCCCACACAGTCACCCTGCTGCGAGAACAGCCGCGTGTTCAGCCCAGAAGAATAAATGACACAAATGCAACCAGCTTTAGGGTTCCTGAGTATTGAGTCCCTCAAGTTCCTTAATTGAGTTTGGAAAACTCTTAAGCTAAAAAAGCATCCGTCAAATAAAAACCCAGCTGCTAGACATCTGGGTTACAGGCTAAGCTAGATGTACAAAAAACTGCAGGGGAAAAAAAAAAAAGCATTTCTAATGTTTTAAAAGGGAATGACATACACAAAAGAAATCACATTTCCCATGCTAGATTGGAGCGATCGGGGGAAATCCTAACCATTTCTTTTTCTTTGAATTTCCAGTAGAGCTACAAATGCAATTTGGCAAGGAGTCCAAGTCTGGTAAACGAACCTCTCCGGTTCTGTCGCCTGTTCTACTGGGGAATGGTAGGGAGTTGAAAAAAGAAAATTAAAATTAAAAAAATTCAAGTTCTGCATTCAATGAGCAAGGTTAAATATCCCCTACTCTGAGCTAAGATTAAAACCACTGAGAAAGACTAAGACGAAAAGCAAAATAAATACGTCTACGAGATGCCAAAGAACAGCCCGGGATCCTGTAAGTCCTCTACCCGCAGACGGCTCAGCAAAGGCAGCAGCAGCTGCAGGACCCGCAAGCGATCCGCCAGCCTCTCTCAACCGTACCCAACGGCAGGTACCCACGCCACGGGTCACTGCCACATCTTTTGGGGCTGATGAAAAGGTAGGCAAGTATCGAACTGGTCGACTTTTCATCGGCAGAAGTGCTTCTTGGAAGCATCTGCTAATGAATAGCAAAGTCCTCCCTTTATGAATATGCTGACAGTCTTTTCCGCAAGCCAAGCGGGTTGTTGGCGTCTCGGCTTTACAGGCTTAGTAAATCCTGCTCCAACCTAGAGGGAAGTGACCGAAGGATCCCTGCCTCGCAGGCTGATGTTTTGTCTTAAAACTGTTCTTTCTGTAAGCAAGGAGCGCTCTGGATCAAAAGCATCGACTGCCCATGAGATGGATGGCTTCAGCTCTACCCAGTAAGGCAAAGGCCTATTCTCCTCACCCAGCCTTTCCCTGGTCACATCCCTTTCACCATCCTCTTGTGCAGAAGTCAGCTTTAGGTGTTGCTATTTTGCCCCTAAAGTGATCTAGAGCCCTTCAATGTCATAACACTATGCATCCAGCATTAAATAAGGGGTGAGACAATTATTTCAATGCCATTCTTGTATTCTTGCCACCCCCCCCCCTTTTATTTTAAAGAACATATTGCAGAAGGTAAGAGGAAAGCAGACTAGCAGAAGGGCTGCAGAAATACCAGGGAACAATGACCATGGACACGGGAGGTTTCCGAAGGCACTGGAATTTGTATTAAGCAGCTTTCAATTGTTGCTTTGTTCCATAGAAAAATGAAAATTCATTTGGGCCAATAAATAGCAGAAATGATACGTGCCCCGTACAGACACCTGGAATTAGGGCCACAGGGCTGGAAGGGGTCTCCTGGGTGAGTCTAGTCCCAGACAGACTGTCACAGCGTCCTGACTAGTTTGCCAAGGAGTAAGCAAGTATAAGGTCGGAAGAGTAGCAAAAGCCCTGCTTTAGCACGAGGCTCATTTATCACTTAGGTATTTTACGCAATTACTGAGGAACCAAGCAGGCACTCTGGCCTAAATATCTGTGCATGGTGCCAAGGCCTAGCTGTATCCCCAGCTCAGCTCAGGATAGGAGAGCCCAGACAGCTCCTGAAGAGTTTTCCTCCGACTGAAGCAGGAGGGGCTCTGGGGGTCAAAATTGAGACGACTGGCAGATTTACAAGGTTATGGCAAAATATGTAAGAAACTCCAGACTGGGAACGGATGGGGGGATGCTGGTTGAGGGACGCACCCCTGCTCTCATCGGGATGGCATCCTGAGAACCAAGTCAGACCCAGCTGTGGTCCTGCACTGGGGTTTCAGATCGGGAGTGACCACATCCATCTCCCTTTTCGCCTGAATTGAGGCAATGATCTGAATTCAGCCTTCCTCGGAGAACGCTCTTGAGCCAGCAAACCGGAAGGGAGAAGCCAGGGACTGAGAGGTGAAAGGGAAGGAAACAATGGAGTGCAAAGACTGAAGGACAGCCAGGCAGAGACCAGCATATCCGTACCACAGTCCCTCTCTCTGCTGGAGTTGGGCGCTAAGAGGGAAAGGAATAGGGAGAATCAGAAAAAGGCAAATGCCCTGGAGCCTAAGCCCAATAGAGAGCTTCTTGTCCCCCAGCCCACTGCTTCTGTAAGGTACCGAGCAGTAGGCAGCAAATCCTACCTTCAAAATCATAATCTTCCCTTCCACAGCATTTTATATCCAAAAACTCTATGGGGCTTTGCAGTCTTTGGCAGTGTTAACATCTCTAAATGGGAGAAATATCCCCCCGCCCTTCACATATGGCATAAGAAGATCTGGTTAAGTAACGTGCCAAAGGCTACTATGGGACTTCCTGGTATCCTGGAAAGACAGACAGCACTCGGGGCCACATGTCCCTTATTTGCAGGGTAAGGATAAACTGTTTCCTCTTTCACCAAGGTGTTGCGAGATTTAACTCAATCATCGCACAATCTCAAGACCCTTTGAGGTAAGGCACTATACAAACGGAATTAATGTGGAAAGAGTCTTTGCTTTCGTGGCCCATTCAATGGCTGGTGCCCCTGCCAAGGCTACCAACGAGTGCTGAATTACAATTTGAAAACGTTCAGTTTTTTTGGTGCGAATTAAAAAGCAAACAAGTCACAACAAAGTGTGCCCAGACTCTTCTGGCTGGTATCCAGTCCAAAAAAAGTACTTCTACCTTTCCCACTGGCTTTTCTCCACACCCATCCTCATTACCTTCCAACAGATGAACTTATATATGAGCATAAGCTTCTGATTTTACAACTGTACCGCCATCACTGTATCTCCTGTTCAAGGTATGCAGCATTAACTATATATGATACTTCAATCTTCAGAAAGAGATCAAACTGTTTAGGCAGGTTGGATGATAACCCTCTCAATTTGGAGAGGAAGGCAGCTGTATGGTAAATTGCGCGTGAGCTCTTCTTTTAAGGGACAAGAAGTCTGCAGGGGGGTTTTTGTGTGTGTGGTTTTTTTTGGGGGGGGGGAACAAAATCTCTTTAAAGATGACAAATATATGCAATCTCTCTTCTCACTATTATCCAACATCTGACTCCACACAATACATTGTACAGAGCTAGGGTACAGGGAAAGCACCTACTACACAATAAAACAGAGCGTACAACAGTTCTTAGCACCCAAGGAAGACCGTATACACTCCACTAGATGAGCAACATGCCTTTAAAACACTAGAAATCTCCAAAACATTAATTTTACCATTGTTATCAAATCTTGTTTCTAAAGACCCCAAATCATTCCGTTTTAATTCAGTAGCATTGCTCACTCAAAGCAGGGTTTCATGTAACAGAGATTAAATCACCAGGCTTGGACTGATCTTAGTTAATATTGGTAGGGTTATTTTACAGTTTGAAGCTCAACCATTTCTAGCCATCAGTCTTTTTCTAGCAGTTTAGAGGAAGCTACAGAGGAAATTCTAGCAGTCTTACTTAGCATCTATTCTCAAAAAAAGCTTTCGCAGAAAGACAGATTAAAAAAAACATTAAAAAAAAATCCCTTAACCTACAGTATATTTGACAAGGCATAAAACTGAGTATTGAAGCAAATTGGCTGATGCTCTAAAGCTTCTATAGCATAACGTCGGCATGTGCAATCGCTAAGTAAACGTGGCCACTTAAGATTAAGTCAGAACCTTTAACCGTTTTGGTGCAAAGCAGCCGCACTTCATCTAGCTATTAGCAGTTGCTTCTACAAAAATAAAATGCAAATAGGGAAAGGGCCATTATAACACTGAATGACGCACGTCTGACATACGAAGGAGCTGGCAGTAAATCAATCTGCGTGCTAAAGCGCAAAGTCAGCTTCTAGATATGCACAAGAGGGCAGACCTTCAGGAGGTGTCTTCAGCGGAGCTGACAGCCTCCTCAAGGAGCTCCCCACTCAAAAACCAGGGGGCTGTATGAACATACACAGGAGGAGAGCCCAGCTCTCGAGTTTGAGGACACCGCGTCGGAAGAACTTTGCCCTTACTTGCTGCTTTCAGCTTAGTGAATCGGATGCAAATAGCGATGGATGTAGCAGTGCATCTCGTCCCCTTAGAGCACGCGTTAGGACAGATCTGCAATAATGGTCTGAGACGCTACAGGAGGTACTGCGGTCTCTGGCATGCTTGCCCTATGTAGAATACCAAAGTATTTTACCGGGGACTTACTGTCATGATCTGCGTGGGAAACATTGTGAAGCACCTGCATTTCTTCAAGATCTCAACTCAAACCGAGTCTAAAATAAACTGATTTTGCCTAGGTTACATACTCACAATTCAGTGAACGATCTATTAGCTGTTCACAGGATTCCTCAAAGCTTTTCATTTGTTCCAAAGGATTTCTTGACTACCTAGGTACCTAAAGAGACCTGTCAAACCTTTCATCACTGACATCAGAAATTCACAGAAGCCTATGCAGTCCGACAGAATACACGTGTTTTTGTAAATCAGCTCCCATCGAAGCCCCAAATACATATATGCAGTTATTCTAAGCAAGAACAAACATGGACAGGCCTGAGACCCCCAAACCCTCCCTCCCCCCAGTACAAAATGTGTCGAGAAGATGGATGTCCAGCCACTGTGGATTTATGACTTCAGCTTGTTTTGCTTGAAGCAGGAAGTTAAAGATTACATTTTACATGAAGCTACCACTTCACGGAGATCTGCAAATGGGACTAAATCAAAGTTTCTACTTACAATTTGGTAACACGTTTTAATCATGCTTTTCCCTTTTCCCCTCCCTAATAATACGATAAGGCTCTGTAGAGAAGCAGAAAGAGCAGCTCAGCCCAAGAAAGCATTTTATCCCCCAATAAAGGGCCTCCCCAGCACAGCCTCAGTGGGTCCTACACAGACAGAGATCTTGGTGCGGGCTTCCCAAAAGGCAACAACGGTTGTAATACAGAAGCCAGATCAGTGCTCTAGGTTCGAGTTCACCTTAATGACAGCTTGACTTGGGGAGCCCTCACCTATCAAGTGGTACTAAACTAGTACACTGCAAGCCACTAAGAAGGGTTTTTTTGCAGTTAGCATTTCTACAGTCGAGGGGCCAATCCCTCTCAAGCGCGGAGATAAACTAGTGCAAAGCGGATTTCTTCATTCCTTTAATCACATGTTCCTACTCAGTGCATAGAGAATTCATCCACTGAACAGTTACAGTAAATTCCTTTGTAGGTACTAGGGTGAAACTAGGTGTAGGGTAGAGACAAGTCACAGCAACAGATGCAATCTGTTTTGTTAAGCAATTTCATTATTAGGGTTCTGTTTAAGAAGGCTGGGCTTTTTCTTTTGCATGGGGCAAAATGGGGTGGGCACACCTCTAAAAGGTAAAATAATCCCTTTCCACTTCTTCCACGAGGATAACTTCAGGTCAGTTGCTTTGTCTCATTTTTGGTAGCACCAAACTCAGTATTTTCCCTGTAAACTTTAACACACTGGCCCAATAACGTCAAATATTTTGGCAATCCAGGCTTCAGATTTCAACGCACAAAAAAAAGTGCAAGTTTACACGCCCCCCCCCCCACCCTGCACAAAGGTTTTTGGATCCTGAGCCCCGTGGACATCAATACACCTCTAGTAGCTTCAACAGTTGTTCGTCAGCATCACAGATGAATATCAGGTTATAAAGCACAGTAGAGTGATAACCGGTACAAATCCAAAAGGCTTCACTGTGACAAGCTTTGTTTCAGTCTGCACCATACTGAATAGCTAGCTTGTGTGCATCTCTTTCAGTAACATCACATGCTATGCTTCGGCTGTAGATGCACGCACATGCATATTCAATTAATTTCCCAATCTGCTTTTTGCTGAACAGGGTGATGGTTCTCTCAATGGCTTCTGCTTTTTATTTCATAATATTGAAGATCATTCTAAAATTGTACATTTAAATAAAACCATTACATTTTATTCCAGTATGCATCATCTTAAGGAGACTTAAAAGCTACCGTGTCCACACAATGCCAAGACTTTTTTTTTTGTTAGTTTTAAAAGGCCCAAATTTAACAAGAGAAACAGAAAAGCTAAATGACTTTGGCTGCAAATAAATGGTGTTGGTTTAAAAATCTGGCTCAACATTTTGCTTGCAGGTTACTCTACCATTCGGGTACATTCTCTAGAAGAACAGACCGGTCAGGCCACCCTTTCCATGGCTATGCAGGAACTCGGATATTCTTGGCTAGCAGACTGAGAAGAGCAAGGTCTGCATTTCCACCAGCTCGTTCCAAAGCCTCGAGAGCTTCCTGCAGGGTAAAGCCAGCGCAGAGAATCTGATTGATGTCAGCGGCAGGAAAAAGGGACGGCGGAGGAACTATGGAGCTCAGTTCTGGATAGCTGACGGGTGGGCGCGGCGGCGGCTCTATAATTTGATGGGGTGGCCTCAGATCTTCAGTACTTGTGGAGCTGTCGGTTACTCCAGGCGTCCCTGGGAAGAGGTTCGGAGGGACACCTTCATCCACCGTGAGCTCCGGTGGAAACGATTTATTCTTCTCCAAAGTCTGATCGGTTGCATGTTGGTCCTTTAACGACCGTTCAGGTCCAACTTCTGCCTGCTCCATGTGGACTTGATTCGATGTCGCAACTGAGCTCAGAATGACAGAATCGCTTGTACCTGGTGACATCTGTATCTCTAGAGCATCTCTCTCAACAGCTGTCTGGCTGGGATTAAAAAACTGGACACTCATGTTTTCAGTTTCATCAGGACAAGGTGGCTCCTCAGCTGGCCCTTCAGAGTTCATCTGTTCAAACCTCTCCTGATGAAAGGAGCTGTTTAGGTCCTGTCCATCTGGACCCACGTTTCCATGTTCATCTTTAGAAAGCTCCTCACATTGTACCTGCTCTTCAGGGACCTTTGCCAGCTGACAGACATCCTCTTCTGGTGCAAGAATTTTTGAATCTCCTTTACAATTTATAATCAAGAGTTCATGAAGCTCCTTTAAGGCTGATGCTAAAGACAAGGATGGCTCTTCTGCGGATGCTGCTGGATCGGTGTGTAGTTGACAAATGCCAGAGGAGGAAGAGCTCTTCTCAGCCACCGAGTTGGATAACTCATTACACGTTCCAGTCATTTCAACGTTGCTTTCAGGCGACAGTAACTCACTAGTGGAAAATGGATTACTCAACGGTTCAGACAAAGACGATTCCTGCTTTGATGATTCCATCTCCATCAAAGGACAGTCGATATTCAGACCAGATGCACTAATATTCTTAGTTTGAGCACTGTGTTCCCTTGACAAGCCATGCACTTCAATTGTAGACTGCTCAACTACATCTATTTCCATGAAGGTTTCTGTTAGCGTACAGCTACAGGATGCTGACATTTGGGCATTTTCTTTCTCACGTGAAAGCCCTACCTTCTCCAGTCCATGTCCTCTTTTCTCAGCAAGAGAGTTAGCAAGGGATTCTGGCTGAATGTTTGTAAGGCCCTGCTCCCCCACAGCAGGTAACTCAAGGCCACCAATGTTACAAGGATACTCTGGGTCAGTTGGTTCACTCTGCTTCTCCAGATGTCGTTCATTTACTGGTTCGTATCTCTGCAGATGTACAGGAAGCTCATTCATTTGGTTCAATTCCAGTTGTTCTGAAGGCAGAGGTAACTCTGGCACTGTCTGCTGTGCACACATATTGGCATCAGGCATGTCTTCCCTTGTCACCTCTAGAGGAGAGTCCAGATCGTGGCCGCGTGCTTTAGTATTTTCCTTTAGACTATCAGCAGCAACCATTTTTTCAAGTGTATTCTGTGACGAGATATTAGGACCATGACAAGCTGCTTCTCCTGTCTGCTGGTCATTGTCTGCTGAAGAAGCATGGTCAGCAAGACTCTGCAACAGATGAGAATGGTCTTTTTCTGGGGTAATCTGGCATTCAGCTGAAGACTTCAAAGACTTCACAGCTCCAGGATCAATTTTCTCTGCTAGGCTAGATTTGTGTGAGCCAACTGAAGCAGGGGCGGAGACAGAGCGGTCAAGTAATTGATTTGTGGGATTACAGATCTTGGACCTTAGTCCTGAAGAATGGACTGGATTTTTCAATCCATCAGAAGTTGGTAACGATGGCATTTCCAGTGAGGTAGTTTCTTTATCACTATTCTCTATACACGGAAAGAAGAAGAAAGAGAGCGTATGAGAGCCAGTACATTTTCACGTGCATATACCTCTGGAATACAAGCATTTCGGTTCTGTATGCCATTTCAATGTGATAATAACTGTTCACCTGAACTGTCGCTCTCGTGAATATATTGTTAGCCACTGCGAACCAATTAGATGTTACAGCCCTTCCAAAGCTCTCTGTAAATTAAATAATAACTGCAAATTCAGTAACTAAATTCCAGTTACAGGTGCTATACTACTGGTATACGTGGCAGATAAAAAAAGCTAGCTCGACATCCAGACCCCAGAGCAGTTCCAATATTCACAATTAGAAAAGACATTTAAACTTGTAAAGCAAGCAAATATAATCTTAAGTCTGAGAAAAGCATGAAACATCGTAATCCTTTTTTTTTTAGTTGCTTTTAAGAACAGAAGCAAGCTTAAAACAATTAAAGATACCCTCCCGCCTTCAAGTCCTCCTCCTGGAAAAAAAGTAAACAGATCCACTTCAAAGGGATAATTATCCAGAGTATTTTGGAGGCTTAGCTTGCATGTTAACTCAATGGTAAATGAAAGCGTAAGTGCAGCTTTGAAAGGTTTATAACTTTTTTTTTTTTTTTTACAATAACGCTCCCTCCATTTCTATTGTTATGTGTCTTCAGAAACATAATCCACGAAGACCCTGCTTTGGTCTTGCCTGGGTATCACCATAGATCCAAAATACTACTGAAGAAAAAGACTAGAGAGCTATGTATAGCCTCGGCTTATTATATTTGTTGTTATTTCTCAGAGAAAATAATGGTAAAAAGCAAGCTGCTTAGAATTCAGTAACCACTCTCCATCAGAGGAGAACAATTTTGAAGTAGGTTAAATTATGGTCCTAAATTACACGACCCTCTTTAAATACCATTTCTTTTTGTTCATCCCACATTTTTCCTGTCCAATTCAATGATGATATCTGTGGTTATGGAGTGAGGTGGGCAGCTGTTAATTGGCCTCTGAGCCAAGGCAATTGAGCTTTAGCACATTTATTTCATGGTGATATCTATATTAACAACTTGCTTATTTTTGCTTTGATTACAGAATCCAAAAGGACCTCCGAGAAGCCCTTGTTGCACCAATACAAAAAGGCCATGTACCATTAAAGCAAACAGATATTAACTTCTGAATCAGGTGATTAAAATACAGTGCACTGAATATTAATATTCTTTTGATAGAGTACAAGATTCAAGATGTAACAGAATAGCATGAACACGATTTAGCTGTGTCCAAGACACTTCAAATTAGTGAGACAGCTTTGTATTAATAGACTGCTAGGGCAAGAGTTTATATACCACTCACCCTTTCATAAAACATGATGTCCTTAAAATTGGTCTCTGCTTGTTAGTTAACTCTGCACATGCAGCCATTACAGGCTAAGTCACGCTCCTCTGATTGGGCTAAATCCACTAGGGAGAGCTTAGTATAACTATTTCCTTAATTCTTTATTTTTATCGTCTTGTCAGAAGGGGCCCAATCAAATCGGTGACAATGGGAGATGTATACATGACTCGCTATTACCGTCTTGTTTTAAAAACCCAGATGTAATGCATTTGCAACAGCACAGTAGTGTTTCAATTCAACAGATTCACATTCAAGTCAGGCAAACAGCAGTGGAGGGTCTCATTTTAATCCTGGTTTGTGCACTTCCCTAGAGCACTCTGCAGTTCAAGGTGCTGGCAACCTCTGCTCAAAAGAGTAGGGGTTCCACCCATCAGAGCTGCTGGGAGTAAGAAATGAAGTGTACTTGGAGAGTGGGGTAGGGAAGCTCACACAATTGAGTCTCTCCTTCTTGTGAGCAAATCGTTTAAATATTTAAGTGAGGAAAATGCACAGTACAGATAGGTTGCATCTACATCACATGCAGCAGGATGTTCTTCCACATGGGAAAGTGAAGGAGCGGACACCTTTATATTATGTAGGGCTTTCCCTAGCACTGCTTAAGGTGAGGAAATCCCTGTTGCTGGCAGCGTGAAGATTGCAGAAAAAGCTCAGAAACGGATGGCTATAAATACCTGGTCTGTGGCCCACTCCAGCTGCAGTAAACACACACTACATGCATCAAGGCTTCTGACGCTCTGTTTGGATTAGGAAACAAACACACCAAACTTGCATTAGCATTCAAAGCACACAACATGCATGGTTATAAGTCCTGCAACTTCTCTCCGCTTCCCCCAACCTTCCACCAAGACAGGGCTCTGAACAGTGGGTGCTCCTTGGATTCACTTCCTTCCAGAAGAAATTCTGCTGGCCGTTCCGACAAACGGTCCATACATTTAGATGTTTTGCGGTCATAATAAAAAGGAACTGCTCTTCACCCGAGTTAAGGCTTGACCTGCGCTATCTACATTTGTTCCGTTCAGTGCGTAGCTGAAACTATACATGTGTTTAGCAGTATGCTAGCTCACTGGGCATACTGTCGGAGATGAACAGAAGCAATTTTTCCAGAAAGTTGAAGCTAAAATTAAGGATGGTGTCTCAGTTCCTGGATTCTCTACCCCTCGGTAAGTCAAGTTTGCTCGTTGCCCTTATGCAGATGGTGGTATCAGCTTCGCAATGTTAGGGAGGGTTAAAGGTTCCAAGTAATTTAAAACCCAAAAATAAAATGCACTAGAGAAACCCTGAAAAAAAAGGGGCTGCGAACAAGAGTGCGAGTGCCGAGAGTGTGATGCGACTCCAGGCAACCTTCACACAGGAAAGGAACTGCAGATCTCTGATCACGCAACCGTTTCTGTTCATCAGGAGAGATGTTTTAACAAACGAAGGCTGCGTTCATTTGGCTTTGCTGATATCCAAATTGCTAGCGTGGCTTCTGCGCGCCAGTAGGTGCCCTGGCACAAGACGCCCTTAGACTCTGCTCTCTCCAACCTCCCTATTTCCAACCAGCTGCGCTAATTTGTTGTTTCTCTCTGTGCACAGTTCTCAAAACTCAGTGGCCTTTAAAAGCCTGCCAGAGCAACTGAGGTAACACACTGAATCATTTTGCTTCATTTAAATTCTTCCTTTTTTTTTTTTTGGTTGTATATGACTGGGTAAAGCTGACTAACCACGTTCCTGCGACTTGCGACTGAGACTTGCCTGCAAGTTTACTGTAATAGGAAGTCTTTTCTTTTTATTTATTTGTCTTCTCAAGTACCTGTCTCCATTGTTTGCCATTTAGACCAAGCGATGCGCTGCAGGCCAGAGCACTGAGTTTCTAAAGGATGCTCCTCTGGATAAAAATAAGAACAGATGCCTTGGGCCATCCTGTTCATCTGTAAAGACTCCAGACATCCAGACTTTTGTAGGGAGAGCAATAAGGCTAGTGGAACAGAATGTGATTAACACAAGAGGGATTCCTGTCTTTCCAACTGCTATGCTATGCTCATACGCCTGGCTGCAGAGCACAGCTCTTAGAAGGGGAAAAGGAAAGTCCCCCGATGCAGTGGAAATGTACTTTGTTCACATGGAATCAGTACTAAGGGTCTGATCAGTCAAATGCATCAGAGCACTGTGGCCATTTAGACAGCAAAAGTAGCTGATGTCCTGCCAAACGCACTTGCTTATGATCCGTCAAGGAACTATATCACAAGAGACATGGCACAAGGATTTGTTGTATTGATTTATTTGACGGCACTAGACAACTAACAATGGGAATGTGCTAGCCTTAGTATAAAGTGCACCCCATTTGTCCCTAGGCTGGACAAAATAAGTGCAGCATCTGTTGCAGCACTGCTGATATACAAAGGCTTTCTGGATGCAAGGAAAGCTGTACATAGAGTAAACTATTTCTCTATGCTTACTGTTGAATCCAACTGTAGCTTTACTGTCAGTCTACTAAGATCTTGGATCACCGGGAGTTCAAATGACCTGAGGTGACAAGCCACTGCATGTGGTCAGAAGAGAAAAAAAATCCTCACAGAGAAGTAGCGGAGAGGACGGGAGGATCCGGGGCAAACTGATATTGCTGTACATATAGGACAGCAGCAGGATGACACCCTGACCCTATCTGCCTTTTTACAGGCAGTTAGATGCTAATCTGCCAGCTCAACTGCAAACCTTTCCAAAAGGGTTGAATAAGGCTCAGGACTAATTCAAGTGCATTTAAATTGGAACTTTAATTATCTAATGATGTACACAGAGATGTCTAGCGTAGCATGAACAAAAAGGCAATGAAAATTCAAACAAACAGCTACAAAAGGGCACAGGTAGTTCTGCGGAGAGCTGAGTCACCTGTGGCTGAACTAAATTCTCTCTCTCTTCTTCCAGGTTCTATGACTTGGTTTTCTTGGTACCATCTAGATGCAGCTAATATTTTGGAAGGGAGGAAGATGGTGCAAAAGTTAATATTCTGACAACTCAGTATATGGCTAACAATTGCCTGTAAGCTTGAGCTTTATGACATATCTAAGACTCAATTAAAAAAAATCCTCAAAACAAGACCTACCTTTCTTAGTTATGTAACGCAGTTAGTTAGTTAGCTGTATACTCATACTTGCGTTAGAGAATTTACAAAAGCAGTGTGTAAACTGGAGTTAGCTAGCTCTGTTCTAAACCCCTTAAGTCACCCAACTTTGTTTAGGACTGAACTTTTATACTTGGTATCAACACAAAAGTGGAGACTGGCACATTTGATAATTAACTATTCGGCCTTTTTGAATTGTATTAAAGAATTCTAAAGCATTTTGGTGCTAACAATTTTCACAGATTTTTAGCATGCAACTCCAGTGGTTTAATTTTAAAAGCACAAGCTTTTCAGGTTGAAGTCCTTCAGTTCAAGGTTCAGATAAAATGAAACCCAGGTTCAGAGCATCTTTAGTTTTTGCAAAGAAACCAGCTGTTCAGTAAAACCTTGAAAACTGAACTTGCTTTCACCTGCCTCTAAAAATGCTAGTGAAAAATAAATTAAGATTATAAACTTTATAATAATTATAACTTTTTTTTTTTTTTGCAAGTAATATCAGTGAAAGACTCTGCCAGAGATTGCTAGTAGCAAAGTTGGATGCCAGGCAATAGTCTGTGTCCATATCTACTTTTCTGTAAATTTAAAAATCAATAAAATTCAAATTCATATTTGACTTAAACAGTCACGGAAGCTGTAACCATTCCTGTTGATTCCCTGAAGCTAACAATTCATAATACAGACTTTACTGTAGAGAATGCCTTCACCCACTTAAATATCCTATGCAGATGGTCCCTATAGATGGAAGGAAAGTGATCCAAGGGGCAAATCATTATAGCTCTATGGTGCCCCTTAATACAAGTAACCCAGTGATTTCTTACTCTTTGGAATATAACACAAAAGTTACAGGACAAGGATGAGCTTGATTAATGGAGAAATGCAGTGCAATAAGAGCAATTCTGGCAACCGCATTTTAGCCCAAACAAGAACAACTCTCTAGAAAGTTAGATGGTATTTTAAAATATAGTAAGACTCATAACCACCAAATTTAGCAAGATTCAGTAAAGCTTAAAAATGGTCTTGCTGCATCTTTGTCATGGGTAAAAGGATAACTAGAATTTTTCCCTGCTTTTTAATTTGTTTTTACCTTAAATGTATCTGGAAGAAAAAGACTTGTTGTCCTTGATTTGATTTTGTTAAAGGATATTTTGGAGGTCTAATGGATGAGTATTATAAACGGTAAAGTTAACTGAAAGGGCGAGGCTGCTGAGTCCTTGGGATGTGGACAGACATAACACTTATACTGGTAATAAGTGATATTGGTATAATGTTATAACATAACTATTATGTGCGCACACTCTTATCAGGTATAAGTGTAGTAAACTCTTTTAACCTGTTTAACTGATTGTTAGTCAGATCAATTTAGCTCACTTCTTTTGTTACACAAGACAAAATAATTGCATCATAATAGCTGATGTGCATGCCAGAGTGGCAACTTCCTCCCCTTTTAAAGCAGCTGAAAATTACATTTGTCCACAGCCTTTTAGATTTCTTTTATTCAGAAGGTGTCTCAGGACAGTTAAGGAAGAGGAGGTAAGAAAACAAAAGTGAAGCTTTAATCAGTCTGGCTTGCAGCTATGCCTCCTTCTCCAAGTGTGACTATTTCACCAATTCTCCAGTCTAGACAGGGCCTGATTTTGCACTTGTAAGGCTTCTCTATAAGTTGCATAGCAGCCAAAAGTTAGACAAGCCAATTATTTTCCCCTTTATGGTCCCTATTAATGCTGATGTATTATATTAGAAGACAGAAAATGCAGCTGCTTATTTAAATGAGTAGATGAGGTTTTCACAGTTGCTAGTAGGGAAATTCAATTCCTCTAAAAATATGTCTACTTCTTTTGTGACAGCGGCACCATTCAGTGAAGAAAAACTGAAGCAATACCAGGTATGTCTAAAAACAATTTGATCAATGGTGCACTTCTGTAGCTGCAGAGGAAATCTATCAAGTGAAGGCTTTGTAACTACTCACTGTAGTTTTCCTAGAGTATTTTGTAGACTGTGGCTGGATTCCACATTCCCTCTCCCCAATTAAAATAGCTAAAATTTCACTTGAAATTTCACTTAACGGAAATTAAATGTCCTTTATCATATGTTAAAATCCTGACTAAGGTTAATGAACTCTGGAGGCAGTTGTTCACTTCTCAAGACCAAGTGGGCAATTTTGGGAGGAAAGGGAAGAGCTATTAATCAGTCACAAGGAAAGCTTGTGAGTACAGCACAGCACAGCACCCCATAGGCATGCAATCTTCATGAAGACAGATTTTACTTGGATATCCCAAAGAAGACAGTGCAAGAAAGGATCAAGTCCCCACGGTTTAATATTGATGTTACATTCAGTGTACTAAGTCAATAAAAATGAGGAGCCGTTTGGTGACAGAAGAGAGCGCTCCTCCCATGCTGCTGATAGCACTATGTAGATAGTTTCTGATTTGGCTCCCTATGGTACCTGCTTCCTCTACGGACTTCTGTAGCGCTTCTGCCAGTTCTTGGTCTGCAATCTCCTCTGGCCGCATGTCCTCTCTCCCTGCCCCATACGCCAATCTAGCACACTCCGGGAGCTCTCCCTCTGGAAGGAAAGGTGTCTGCGAGCCAGTGGTGCCAATCACTAGGACATTCTTCTTGAGATCAATGGAACACTGCGAAAGAATCGAGACACCGAACGCCTGCGTCAGAGTCAGTCGGCATAACAGCAACCAGCTAAACGGTACGTTTCCTAACACAGAGCGACAACTCAAGCTTCCATTAGCTAGCTGAAGAGCAGGCTGCTAGTAAGTGACCACCCTACATATGCTCAGAAATATCTGAGCAGCCCATGCCTTCAACATACCTAGACACTTCTTTCAGTTGCTCTTATTTGCTGCTTCTACTACTGTTCACCTTTTTAAATTGAAGCAAAGAAACTGTTCCAGCTGTTAGGGAAGGCCCTACAAGCGACTGCATTTTAAACTGCTCAGTTACAAAGCTCTGAAGGCACCAGATTTCAAAGCAAAGAACTTTAGGTTGTGAAAAGGCGCAAAGGACTTACAAACTATACAAGGTACGTTTGCTTCTCCTGCCACCATGCAAAAACCATCTGTTGCTATCTTTCTCCAGAATATCCTAATCCTCCAAAATAACTAAGGATGGCAACGATCTGGCGCGTAGTGCTTTTCATCACGAAAGATTCAGGGGCCATTCCAAAATAAGTACCAATGGCTTCAGTTACCTGGTGTCTCTTAAGCATATCCAGTCCTAAAAGCATATCCATCGGCTGCTCTTCAAGGATCGAGAAAGAACACGGGAGGAAATCCCCTTCAATCTGAACCTGAGCTGAAATGCAGACAGAAAATAAAACAAACGTTATATCTTGACTGCTCTCCTGTCTCAGGAAGGGCCCAAGACCTGCAGCACAAGGATTCTCCTGTATGCGATTTGCTCCCCCGTGCAAAGATGCAAAATCAGAGAACAGAGCTAAAAGGGCGCTCAGGTCATCCAGTCCAACCCCCTGTGCTCACAGCAAGATCATCCCTGGCTAAACCAGCCAAGTGTTTGTCTAACCTCCTCCTGCACACTCCAAATATGGAGATTCTCCAACCTCCCCAGGTAATCTATTTCAGTGCTTAACTACATTATAGCTAGAAAGTTATTTCTAATATTCAACCTAAACTGTTGCAATTTAAGACCATTATTTCATGTCCTGTCCCCTGTGGCAATAGAGAACAGAGAATCACCATTCTTTTTATTACCCCCTTCAGGTATTTGAAAGACTTCTCTAATTCCATTTGTCTTTTCTCTAGACTAAAATAATCCCTGTTCTTCGAACCAGCTCTCAAGTCTCCTAGACTGTTAATCATTGTTGTTGTTTTCCATGGGATTCTTTCTAATTTGTCTACATTTCCATTTATCTATTGAGGAGCAAAGAGAGCAGTCCAGGGGACACCTCACTAGTTTAGATTGAAAGAATCACTCCTCTTGATTTGCAGATGACACTCATGTTAATACAACCCAACAGGCTATTTGGTCTTGTTTTGTAACGAGTAAAATGTTGACTCATTCAGCTTGTGATCCCATATAACTGCCAGGTCCTTTCCTGCGGTAGTGAGGCCTGATGACCAGCTGTCCCCTTACTTATATTTGTGCATGTGATTGTTACAATCCAAATGCAGGACTCTGCACTTGCTCTTAATGAATTTCTTTCAATGTCAGATCTTTTCTCCAGTTTTCAAGGTTACTTTGAATCCAAATCCTTTCTAATATTTTCCCTCTTATTTTCAGAGTTGACCAGATCTTGCAGTCTAAGACACACTGCACCTCTAGCCTCTCAAGCTACAGCTGAAGACCCTGCATGCACTGCAGTAGAGTGCAAGTCTGTGAATTAAAATAGTGAAATAAAGGTCAAACAAGGGCAGCTGTTCCCTCATTTTTAGAAAAACCTGTGCAAGAACAGAGAGGCCTTAAAGTGCTCTCCTCATTAGGGAATGCAAAACATTCAGCTGCCCTGGAATTTTCCCCTGAACAATTCACATTGCCTGCTAACCCCACCCTGATCCCAAAGTGCAAAGAATAAAGTTATTTTACATTAATAACCTTGATTCCCGATTCATCGTTTCTCAGAATTTCCTGGGAACTCTAGACCGACCAGAATTAAGGTGTTCAGAACAATTTATAAAAATGACATCAGATACGAAGGCTATAGCACCTACAAGTTGGTGATGAAGTCTGACCCCTCCTCACGGCAGTCCCTGAAGTCCAAAGGCAGACTCTTTGGTGCCGAGCAGAGCGACAGACACAATAATGAAGGGACCACTACAGTTCAAGCTGTGTAGAGAAATAGACCTGTTAAGCCATTACTTACCGAGGTGCACCCTGCCAATGATTTTCTGTGTGCCAACACCCTTTGCAATTCCTGCCCACCGCCGGTCTACTAGCCTCATTATGTTACACCTTTCAGCACAAGCTTGGCTCATAATGGTCATCTGGGCACCTACCAGAGACAAGAGGAATAAGCGATGTTAAAACAACAAAGGGTCAGTGGAAAGTCTTAATCACTTTCAGTGCAGAGAGTTTAATCTAACACTCAGGGGGACCAGGGGCTGCAACAGGAAATCACGTGGCATAAAGGCTGTTTGTTTTGTTTTTTTACAATACCACCGCTTTCTATTGACTGTATATAAATGCACAATCCACGGCTGAAGGTCTTTATTGTTATGGAGTCACGATAATCCTGAATGCTTACATTTTGAGAACAATGGATGAAAAGAGCTGTGCTACAGAGGAAAGCAAATCGCAAATTCATAGGTAGGGAAACTGAGGCCCATAGGTGGAGTGTACTGTCCAAAGCTGTAGGAGGAGAGCAGCAAAATTATGATCAGAAGCTAGAAATTCTCACTCCCAAGTTATTTGTTTCACCCACTAGATCGCACTAACTCCCAAATCATCCCCGATGCATTTTCAATTCAGGGGAATAATACCAAAAGAGCCAATTCCAATTTTAACGGGATTCTTTTAAATCTTGTAACATCTGTATGGGGAGGGAATGATATAAATGGCCTTACTGTGGGAGATCATAATCTCCCTTAAAAAACCCAAGGGGATGGGGGGGCAGAGATAACAGAGAAAGATTTACAGTGGGGAATAGTCACCTGAGTCAACAAAGGCTTTCACTGGATGTCCATTGACTTTGCAGTTGATATAGAGCATCACCACTTGGCCAAAGCTCTCTGGGGCCTCTTCCATGGCTATCGTCATATTCTCTTCAATATTTTGTTGCCTGAATTTAATGAAAACCAGACATGGAAATCATGGCTTCCATGAGCAGAACGGGCATCTTTATTAGCTTCCTTTCTCCAAAGGTTTACTAACAGACTTGTTAACTTGTCCCTCTCCTCTAGGAGAAACCAACTTTTGAACAGCTTGTGAAAGGACTACTTCATCAGTTAAACAGAGCTTAATGAGCAGAAGGACCGCTAGAAACAATCTTGCCTAATGCCAATCTATCAGGTTGCTACCAAGCAGGAAGGAAAGATTGATCTTTGTAGTGTCTTCAATTAACACAGGTAACAGGAAATAGTACAGAGAAAGTTGATAGCTGCATGTAGTACCTGGGAGACCTGCGACTACCTGCTTCCCGTTCACAACTAAAACTTGGCACTACAAAATTAACAAAAAGAACTAGAGGGCAAGAAACAACGTATTTATTAATCATGCCACAGCAAAGCACTAAGGGCATGAGGTGAAGGTCTGGCCAGTAGCTACACACAACGCTGGGGGGCCACACAATAGCAGCGTATCAAAACCCTTCCCACAACATTGCAGAGCATTCTTGCCTTTTGCAAGCATCAGGATGGGAAAAGGTTAAATAAAAGTGTGGTGCATGCAGCAACACAGCCACACGTCCTCTCTATGCACTTAAAGCTACAAAAGGAATGCAGAGCTAAGCTAAATCCAAATGCAGCTCAGTCCCTACAGAAGCCTTGAGCATGATGGGAATCTGCAGCTATCTTGTTTGAAATAGCCCCTCTATGAATATAAAAAGATTGCTTGTAAAAGTAGTTTCCCTTTTGTGTTGGTATAGGGGAGAAGAGGGGCAATATTCCAAGCTTTTCTCCTGCCCTTCCTCTGCTTTGAGATGAGCTTTCCTCTGCCACGGGAAGGCTGCTTGCAATTCCCTTTGGAGGCAATCACTGATGTACCATGCACCTATTAAACGGTATCACTGGGAAAAAAATAAGCAATGCTGCTTGGAAACTGAGGGCCAACTCCTGAAAAAAAACAGCATGCTGCCCAGCTCCCGTGGCTTCAATTACTCATGAGACAGTTCAAAGCAAACTAAATCAGCCTCTTTCAATAGACAGGGCTGAGACAGTCAAGAACAAGCAGTATATGTAAGTGGCAGAGATTTAGTGTCAGTTTGATTGCTGCCACCACACTTGTGTTTTCCTGCTTTCCCCACCTCCGTTTCAACAGTGGTACAAAGCATGGGTGTAAGGGAGGGGTCGCAAGGTTTGCCTTTTTTAAAGAACCACTTTTCTGATGGTGACCATGCTTTAATTTTCTAGCCAACCACAGATGCAACATATAGAGAGAAACAGAGTGAACGCCCCCCTGCCATGAAGCCAGATCAGTAGCAGCATGTGACACTGCCACACAGGAGACTCAGGAGGAGTCGGGGGTTAAGTTCACAAGTCCCAGAGCTCAGTTTTGAGGAGAACCAATATATTCTAGGCAGTTAAATCCCAGGTCTCCATGGAAATGGGTAAGCAGAAGTCCTCTCTACTAGCTAGGTCATGGAGACACACTTCACAATAGAAAGAGCACACTGAAAAAATACAGATGACAATTGGGAAGGGAGGGAGGGAGGGAATTGCAATTCCCACAGAGGAAATGACCCATATTGATATGGTTAGGGCAGATTAACCCAACACCACCAAAAGAATTGAGAGTCAATAGAGGAAGAAAAAGATTCATTCACCTTCCCTTTTGGTTCCAACTAGACCCCCAACTGCTTTTTCACTTGGAACAGAGTCTCATAAACAGTTCTCCCTTGGGCTTAGGTTTGCTACCTTATATCTTCTTCTATCTTGGCCTGAGCCTCTAGATCAAAAGGGTCAGCTGAAAACAGACGGATCCTTTCCTGCTCCCGCCGGGCTCGATCCTGCTGCTGCTCCACAAGCACCTTGGTAAACTTCTCTGCAGTAACAAAAACAGACATACCGACAATGGTTAGATGTGCAAATATCCTTTCCTGGAAATCGCTCTTAGAAAAAAAACCTCCATGGTTAAACTTCTGATGTAGAAGTGCCTTTTTAAAGAGTTAGGCAGCAGACAAGTGCAAAGCCAACAGTGCCTTCAGCATCAGGCTCTATTTCAGGGTTACCTGTAAGACCACTCAGGATGGACCGAATCTGTAGGATCGCCCATTTGGTCACTCAAGTATCCCCCAAGCAGGGATTCAACAGGGCTGAAATACTTCGCGCTGGGCCTGGTGCCCAACAGACTATGCAGATACACGACTGAAACCTGTCGTGAACTGAAGTTACCCTGTGCATACCTTTCCTTTGCCAGCAAATAAGTTTTCAAACGTGAAGGCATCATGACAGGTAAAACGAAGGGCTGCAATTAACACATATTTTCATAGCCTGACTGCGGCACAAGCTGCTTAGGGAGCTCTTAGAAGAACAGCTGCAAAAGCAGCAAGCCATACCTAAAGCAGATATTACGCATCCAGCATTTGTATTCAAAGCTCGCAGCCTGAACCATGCATCAGTTCTCAGAAAAATCCTCAGCCAAAATTTGTTTTCCAATTAGGAAAAACTGAACGTGAACACTAAGTGCAACAGCAACCCATTACTTATTGATCCCAAAGCACTTTTTAAAAGGGGGCATCACTGCACTTATTTTATATGCATGGGGAAACGGAGCGGCAAAATTACGCAGCCCACCCAGAGTCTCAGTACCTCACTGGTACAGCCAGGAACACAACCCAGAGCCCTTAACTCTCCGTATGGTGCTCTGGCCTCTTGATCAGGTTGCCAACAGCACGGGATGTTCCACCAAAAAGATATCAACGGAAAACTGGCCGGAGATTAAGTGTGCGTAAGAGCAAAGTCAAAACTCCAAGACTCTCAGGCCAGGCTTCAAGCATCAACCCTGTTTTAAAACCAAATAATGGAGGCCAAGATGTAAAAATCAGAGTCCCTAACATTAAATGCTGGAACCTGCATTTAAAAGCTGCTGCTAGGTTGGTTAGATCATATGTTTAGTGACATAATATTCAGGCACCCAGCCTTAATTGGTATTCCTTACATTTCTAATAGGTCTTGGAAATCAGTGCAGTTCTGAACGTACGGTACCAGGCTTTCACGTCAGTAAATGGAGTTCCTGGCCCTGAAGACACTGATATACTCAGCAAGAACCCAGACATGTTTTGATCTCCCTAACCTGGCCTCGTGAGCTATATAGCTGATGCCTTCTGATGCACTATAACGTACTCAGCACCATCACATGGCAAGCTTCAATGCACATATTTTGGGCCCTGTAATGAAAGCAGTTCTGGATCTGTGCCCAAATATTGTTGGGTAACAACACAACATGATAAATTCTGACAGCGTGACCAGTAAACCCACCCTTTCTGATCACAGTGCAGTGACTCTGAACTAAATGTACAGCAGGAGGGGGGTTCACCAGATGTACCAGGTGAGGAAGGGCAGATGAGCTACTTCAGGGCCCTTGGTATGAATGCTGTATACACTTAGGTTCAGTCCTCTATTCCTTGTGCCAGCATTACCCGGCTCCAACAAAGGTTCACGCAGAACCTAGACTATAACCTCTCAAGACCCCCTTGTACTAGGAACTGAAGTATACGAGCAGTGAGGCCCCAGGCAAGCTACTCCGTGGGCAACAGACAAGAGCAGTTTTTGAGAGCCCTCTAAACCCCCGCACCAGTCTGATGTCCTGCTGCTCCAGCCCTGAGTGGCTCTGGCCTGGCACAGAGATGAGGGTCTTATTTTCTTTGCACCCAGAGCCTGACCCAGCATTAAACCCAAGGAGCCAGGTTCACACTAATGATTTGCCCACTTCAGGACATGGTGTCTTCCACCTGACCCCTCAACCCTGTTTGATTTGACCTCTGGTACTTAGCACTTCTTCAGTGCTGACCCCTTGAGCAGAAACTAAAACAGGCCAAGTCCTTGCATACAGATTCATAGCCATAAGAAGGGCTCCTCATTGCAGAGCCCCAGAAACACGTAGGCACATTAAAACATTTTCTTTAAGGTATGGTGCTTAAGGCTCCTGCACAAGCCGTCCCCAGCAGCTGCCAATGCAGACTGAGCAGCGCTCTGGGTGCTTGAACCGCTGTGCCAGTCTCTCTCCGACCCAACCTTGCCCTCACAAGTCTTGTGCAAGATGCACCAGGCACTTAAAATCCTGGGCCCATCCTCCTGGGCTGCTGCCAGCAACACACCAAGTACACACTGCCTAGCTGCTTGAAGGCGCATTCAATCGCCGTCCTGCAGCCGCTTAGATAAACCAGTCTTTTATGCTTTTAAGGTACACAGCAGGCGGCTTCCAAAGCCACAGGCAAGTGGGTGGGCAGGGCTCTGGAGTATCAGCATGTGGATGCTCACACTGTTTCTCTCTGCTCTGTAGGCATTTCCAGCAAAGCTCCCTATCCTCATCAGGGAAAAGGAGCAAGAATTGATGAATCTTCTTGTACCATGCACTTTTCCAGCTACCCAGCATTAGTGTTGGTGAATCTCCCATAGCTGGCAAGCAGGGGAAATCAGGGGGAAAAAATGCTTCTTGTTTGGTTTTTTTGAGGCTGCTCAGTTCTTTCTCTAAGGTTTTGTAGCAGAAGCAAGGAATGGGAATGTGCCTTCTACCTCTCCCTCCAATGCAGCTGCTAAACGACACACCCCGCCTTCTATATCAGTGGTTCTCAGCCTCACTGGACATAAGGCACCCTCCATAATTTCTGTCAATTGAGTGTCACCACATTTCAAAAGCTAATTTATATGTTACAGCCCTCACCTCCTTGCAGAGGGACTGGGCACTGGGGGTAGGGGATCAGTAGGCAGGGACAAGCCTGAGCCTGTGCTTACCTGCTTATCTCCTCGCACCTCAAAGCACCCTTCAAATTATCTGGAGGCACCCTTGGGTACCACAGCACCCTGGTTAAGAATCGTTCTTCTATAGGGGACGGTACCTTTTACAGTGGAGCATGCCTCACATGCCAGCGACAGATCTGTCCATGCTTGCAGATGGCTACTGCCACAGACAAGCCTCGTGTGGCTCATCTCCCTATTCACCTTTGGGACTACCTCTGCACACTGTTCCAGCACGGTGGCCTTCCTCACCTCTGAGTTCTCCAGCCACTGCTGGGCAATCCATATCTGCAGCACAGTCTTCTCCCACAAGCTCACACCTGTTTCCTGAATCTAAAACTGGCAGTCCACAGATCAGAGGATGGCCACAGAGCAACCCACCCTTGTCCGTCACCAGCTATCCTTGCCTTTGGGTGACTCACTGTCATCATGTGAGATAACAGTGCAGGGGGTCATTAACCACAGCGTGGTGCGGCAGGACAGACTACACTTCAGCCTGTGGGTGCTACTCCTGCTGCAGCAGCCTGACAGCTAAGGACTTGCACTGAATTAGACACTCAGCAGCAAGAAGGCACATGCATTACCACAGTCTGAGATCGCCGAGATGGACACAGGCCAAGACAGGCTGCATCCGCACCACTGTCCTTCTAGTTTCAAAATGGCTTTGTATCCCTTCAGGAAGAGGTCACCAAGTGAACCTCAGATGCTTTTCCCTTTTGCAACTGAGCCACTGCAGCTGTGTTTGAAGCCTTTTGGGCGCTCTTCTCCTAGTGCCCCACTGTGCACCGTGGCAGGCATCCCCACTGCACAGACTGCTCTGGCAAGTCACATCCCTGTCCAGGATCTCATTTGTAGCAACTGAACACAGCCTGGCGCTTGTGCCAGACTGCTGCACTGCAGCGTGTTGCAGGTTGATGCCATGAATTTCACCTCCTGCCGCCTCCCCAGTCACATGCCCATGACCCCGCAGCCCAAGCACGCCGCTACCTCAGGAAAGGCCCAAAGGCATTTTCAGGTTTTCAAAAAGTTACATATAAAAATTGAGCAGTTTAAAGGCAGTGCTGCTAAAGAACAATGAGAATAAACACCATTGACTGGTTCCCCAGGTGACACGGGACTGTCAGATTAGGTGACTACCCTTTTCTTTGCTATATTTTTGATGTCCATGCCAGTAGTGATCAAATATTGTTACTATAGCAATGGATGGATTTAAAATGACTTGCTTTCTGGCCAAGTCTTAGCTGGCTGAGGGCCATGGCACAATCTACCACCACAGTTTGCACTAATTGGTATGTTTCTGGGAGTTTCAGTGAAGAGGCCATGGATTGAATGAGTCACAGGAACCGACCTCATCCCCAGACGCAATCCTTCTGACTAACGGGAAAAATACATCAGCAGGGTCAAAGAGGAAAAACTTGTAGGGCTGTTGTTAGTGCTTTTTCTGTTGTTTGAAGAGAGTAATTCTGCCTTCGGGGATGCCACTTCTCACCAGCACTGCAAACATTAAAGCTGCTACTGCCACTGTGAGCCACCCAGCTGAGTAAATGCCCCTGGCTGCCAGTGAATAGAATCCAGCACAGGCAGAAGTTGCAAAGCCGCAGCCTCAACCTTCCCCCAGCTCCAGCTTACCCAGGTCTCCACTGAGCAGGGCCTCTGCCAGAGGTGGATTGCGCTCTTTCAGCAGGGACAGCTCGTGAGGATTGGCAAGCAACATGTCGCGCAATAGTGCTGGATTGTCCAAGCCCTGAGGGAAGGAAGGTGCTTCAGGTGGTGACGAGCGCAGATGCTGTGCTGGTTGCTGAGGCTGCTGAGTTGACATTCCAGGTACTGCAATGCTGCTGAAGTCTATCCTGGGCAGACCTTAGGGAAAAACCGGTTAACAACGCTGTGACCACTTCGTGTTTTCGACTCAGCAGCTCAAACCTATGGAGTGGCTGCGCTGAACACGTGCACGTATGAACAGGTCCTTTAAGCTGCGATTCCTGTCTGAAGACTCCACCATGTCACCATCACATTTGGGTTAGCGGGTTAGGAATACTAACACATATTTCTATAAACTGAGCCATTCTTTTATCTGGCCCATTTTCTTGAGCACACTTAGCCCTTTGGACTTAATTTTTCCATAAGATATATATACCCCACTCTGCTTCACAGAGGGCTTGTAAGGCTGAACTCAGCCTCTGCAAGACGCTTTGAATTTCTCAAATAAAAGACATCAGTCTCCCAGCTAAGGTGCCAAATTCTTTAGTGTCTCAGGACCCTCCCAGGTATGACCAACAGGTATATTCTTTTATAAAAGGACAAAAATCATGATGGGGATCCCTAGTCTTAGTAATTGGGAAGGACGGGGCATGGGGTGGGGAAGGGAAGGGCTGGAATAGTGGTAACTCAGTTGCATGCTACGGGGTTTGAGGAATCTCTGGACTATCCACTGCATCATATCACTGGGTCCATTAAGTTCCTCTGCGTATTTGTCACAATGTACATTCAGAACATGAATCGTAACAGCCTTTTCTGTGTATCCGAGCAGCACAGACCGCACATTATCGCACCATTATGCAGAATGGGAGGACTGCAGGAAGCCTTATGAAAATGGAGATGCGTTCAAAGCAGCTGCTTTTCTGGACGTATTCTTTTGGTCGCTCCCTTCCCCCAACAAAACCCCAGCAAAATAAGTTAGTCCTTCCCTTGGATTAGAACACTGTAAAGCAGCAAATAAGTTCAGCAATCAAAGAAAAAAAACCCACCCTAAAACCAGAACTATTTTGCCTGATAAAGAACAGATGGAAGTTAGGATGCGTGGTGAACGTTCATCAAGCACCGAGACAGTGAAATGAAGTGCGCTGAGCACAACAGCGCTGTCATTGTACATTAGTACACTAAATATGAAACTAGGAGCACTCATTTTCTGCCCAAAGCATATTTTTACCGCCCACTTACTAATTCCTGGAAGGACGGCTTTACATTTAACATTAACAGACTCTCTTTTTGGTATTAATGCAACAACAAAGTTAAAATATGTCAGTAGATAAAACACCCAAATGATTAAGAGTCACCATTTACAGGTACCAATTTAGTGGACCTGTGGATACAGCGACAAGAACCATTAGTCTGAGTTAATCTGACAAGTTTCTCACCTGGAAAATTGCCAGGAGGCCGTGGCTCTACATTTTCCTTCTGTCGTAAAATCACCACATCCCCATCTTTCAAGCCATACGAGGCCAATGATCTGTGGTTGTCAGTTAGAGGCCTTTCTGCATAGACAATCTATACATGGGAAAAAACAATGGAATAAGGAAAACTTATATACAATAGAAGGCAGATAAAGCAAAATCCTAAACAGTGGCTTTGTTTAGGGAAATTAATTTTGCTCCACTCTAAATTTCAAGATGGATCCAGAAGAATTACTGGTAGGAGTGCGATTCCTATCAACGATACAGGCAGTTGTACAGCTAGTGCCCTACGTACCAGACAGGGATCCCAACAGTAAGTGCTTACAGCACCACAGAGAATTGTGTTTCCAGAAAACCCCCATGGTTTCACAGCATGCAGCATTTCTGAGAAGGGCTGATCAAGGGATACGAGAGCTGAAAATGTACACGAGAAGCCTTGGACAGCGCCCAGCGTTCTGCTCGCTCTCCACACAGCCATGGTCTGCCTGCCTCCCAAACTGTGATCTCCCTGCCATCAATCAAGCATTTACCTTTACACATTTCCAGGTCTGTGTTTAACACTGGACGGAACAGGAAAAGAAACGGAAAAGAGCTTCACTGGTATTTTGCTTGCACCCTTCGACATGCAGCCATGATTTTCCAGAATAACTAGTTTAAAAAAAATTGCCATTGACAGCAATCCGTGGCCTAGGACCGCTGGGATTTGAGCTCCTAAGGAACTGCTCAATTAAAACATATGATTTGCCCGAGTTCTACTTTGAACACAATCCTAAAAGGCCAGCAGTTCTTACTGGAGGTGGTTCCTTCAAAATCCCAGAAAGTCCATTTCATTTCAGAACACTAAGCCTCTATCTAGCCCATGCTAACACTGAAATAGCAGTGAGAGGAACTAAAAGGGTTGATGGATTAAGCACCACCATTTGGGTTTTAGTGCAATCCCAGCTGAAGTCAAAAATGAAGACAGCTTGGAGGTCTACACCTCGTCCTACTGGGCACGTGTTCAAATTTCACAATTACCACGCGGTTTAGCAAGACTGAGTTTCTGCTCCTGAGAAGCCCAGGACCGGATCGACAGGTTTGCTGCAGGTGAAGACCGGCCAGCCGTGCGCTGGCAGAGCTGTACCGGAGAGTTTCTCCAGGAACTGCCTACCTGCAGCTAACCAGTGCTATCACAAGCAACACAGATCTGCTGCAAAATACAATTCGCAGACACTTCCCAAGCCATTATGTCTGCAAACGTTTCCTGAGATGCCAGAACCCCACTACCTCTCTCTAGTGATGGAGAGTACCATCATCAGCTCCCGAGCTCTGTCAAAACAAGCAAAGATGACGAGATCACAAAATAAGCTTTGTTCATTTATCTGACATGTAGGGTTTAGCTTCGGTAATTAGCAGTCTTTCACAGCATCCCACCAACTGTTCAGTCACATATTTTATAAATGTAGCAAACAACTACACACTAATGTGAACGAAGGTAACTCGCCAGTACGTAGAATTTAAAATACATCTCTGCATTTTCAGACTGCCATTGCCATGGGTCTCGGGACTATTTTGGGCAGCAGTGGTTCCAACAGCCACTCACTCCACCTTCTCTTCCCCGTGGGCTCAGAGACTGTGAGAGGGGCAGCGACTTCAACCACCCTTCAATCCCTTCCACTAACTTGAGAACTGCTAACCCAAGTGCACCAGCCCAATCCAGCATGTGGGACCATTGGCATGGGGCTTCCCGCAGGTCCAAAAGTTTAGCGGCAGAGCCGTGACGACATTAACTGCAGCCAGGCGCCAAGAGCTGCAGCAATTAACACCGCCATCACCCCCCCACTGCCAAATTTCCAGGCATATAGGGGGCTTTGCAGGCCAAATGACTTGGCTTCGCAGGCCGAATTCAGCCTGCATGCTGTGCTTTGAGCACGCACCGTGGTCACAGGTGATCCCAAGATTAAAGCAAAGGTCTCAGTCCAGTTGCCTTTTTTGCTGCTCAAGTGGGAGGTCTTCTCTAATGCAATGGATTAGATTTATTTAGTCAATCTCCTCCTTTCCGTTGGGATACTGCCCCTCAACAGAGCACCCCTAATCCAGGGTCCTTCTTCAGAAATCCAGCTGGAGACCTGAGAAACCTGCGGAGACTCCCCTCCACCCTGAAACAGGAGATCCAGCATTCTTAGAAAGTCGGACCTACGAATATCAAAAGCAGCAGAGCTCAGATTTTACCCCTTGTCTTTCCCCCACAGATGAGGCACCGGAGTGACCGCTTGTCAAAACAGGGCAGTTCTTAACAGAGCTGGCCAGACTAACACCCAGTCTGACCCAAATGGAGTAAGTTGGGTGACCAAACAACTGAAGGCAGGTCTTGATACAGGGCTACAGAGAAATAGCTGCAGGCAGAGCCTGACCCTAAGCAACTGGCCGTTACGCCACAAGGATCTGCTTCAGTTTCTCCAACATGAAGCATCATGCCCGTGAACACGGAGTACCTATACCTTCACCCCTTTGGCAGGCACTGATTTAAGAGGTAAGAGTGCCTGGAAGAGTCCTAAGAGACCACAGTGTTGATGCCAGATACAAAACCGTAGTAGGAACAGCGTTCAGCAGAAATCCAGCACCAGATCTGGCTGATCTAGGGATCTGGGGGCCAGCACAAAGGGCTCCAAATCTGATGAAACACATCGAGATTTTTAAAATTAAAATGCTTATTTACATGTGGCTAACTCTTTACCTTCAACCCTTTTTATAATCTTAAATACAAAAACAACTGTTAGTTCATTTCTTTGATGACATGTTCTACTGGCAGAATTTCAAATTCTACAGACTTTTTTTCCTGCTACAAAGCTGACACTGAAAATCTTTATCTATGCGGAAAGAGACAAGTTCTAGGGCCTAGACTCTCAAGACACAAAACTGATAAGCACAGCCAAGCCCATGTTGTACTTGCAACACCTGACACGATGAACGAGCCCAACCCAAGATAAATGAAATTCTCGTCGTTAACACTGACCCTATTTTGTCGTAAAATAAAACACTCTATCCCAGAGACCTCAGGGACACTTACTTTGAGAGGGGTCATGATGACAGACCACTGGGTCTGGGGACCTCAATACCTCTTATGATGGGCACAGAACCAGTTGGGTAAGCGGCTCGCAAGAATCGACAGCACCAAGTCCTCGGCATCACTTTGTTTTACTTTGGTGGATACGGGAGCTCTCCAGTAATGGGGTACCAGACCTCTAGCACTGGATTTAGTCAGCATAATAAAGCCAGAGACCTTTGTGACCTCTACACCAGGTGCACAACTACAATGGTGAGCAGGTCTCCAACATCAAAGTTAGATTTATAGACCAGCCTCATGTTTGAGCCTGAAGAGCTTTCCCTATTAACGGGCACAGGGCACACTGCTTGCCTTTGTATGTCTGGAGGATGCCCACGCTACACAAGGAGCTGCCTCTTTTTCATTCCTCACAAGAACAACTGACTGACAGACTTTCTGCTATAAATAAAAAGCCCCAAAATACAGGAAAAAAACACAGCAGCAAGAAGGGAAGTGAGGAGGACACAACACGTGACGTGAGTTCACTGCATGCTCAGCAGCAACATGAAACTGGTGGTGGGGAACACTCTTGCTTTTAATCTCCCCTCCAGGGATGCGAGGAGAAGGAAGTGGCGCCTGCGGGCAATGCACACACACAGTACAGTCACCCCGATGACACGAAGAATAATCAAAGATGGCTCAAAGAAGAGTATGGAAGCTCCTTGTTCACTATTAACTCTCATAAGAGCCACAGGAGAAGCCACCAAGTGTACAAATCTGCGGATGTTAAGATGAACTACTGCTAATGTATTCCAGCTCGTACTGCAGACCTGCACCATATCCAAAGCAATCAAAAGAGCTGTTATTAAGATGATACAGGACAGGCACAAGATTAGAAACTAATGGGAGACTTCTGTCCTACTAAATACACAATTGGCAGCATCAATCTGTATCATATTCCACAGGCTGCCTCTGTCCACTTCTACTTGGCGAGCTATACTTATCCAGAACACATCGGTACGTTCCCCATCTGCAAAGCAGAAACGTAACAACAGGCTCTTACTTATACCGCTAAGCCTCGTTTGTGGGGGGAGATTCCCAAATGCAGCATCTCGTAGAACTAAACGCATCACACCCAGTTTGAATTCAGTAATGATGCTGACAGGGGAAAAAACCCAAGCTCTGAATAAACCTGCCCTGCACGCATACAGCTTAAATGACGGACGCTTTGTGCGGACATTCGGGGACACGCAACATAACTCATTTTTAAAGAGATCTAACTTGACTTCTTGCTTCGATGGGATCATGAAACTTTGCCTTAATAGCTCAAAGGGCAAATTAAGCACGTAGCAGCTGCTCTGCTCTCCTCCTTTGCAGTCAAAATAACAAAAGCGTGACAAAATAAAATTAGCTTCTCTAGCTTGTAACGTATTAAAAATGCCAATTCTGTAAGGCAGCTAAACTGTAAATGGAAAACTCCCCCGAAGGCAGTCAGCGACCACAGTCCATCCTCCAGCATTATGAAAAGCTCTGGTTTGGCCAAGAACGTCCTGGAGCAGACTTCTTGATGCACGTGGGAATCCTGGAGCCACTTTTTGGCTGGTTACATGAAAACAATGACAAATATCTTCCTTTAAAACAGAACAAACAGAGTTATTAACTCCACCCAACAAAGCTGAAACATCTGTTAGCAACCCATTTCCATCACTGGTGTCTCACACTAGGAGCACTCCATCTCGCTGGATACCAGCGTTTCACTGCAATCTAACTATTTTCTAACGTACAAGAGGATTCATTAGATCAGTAGTTCACAGTCCTCTTCCCTATGGTACTGATGAGACTGTGCTGGGTCCACAGCCTGATTTTCACTCAATTACATGGACTTGTGCAGCATCTCTGGCAAGCTAAAGATGGATTTGGAGCAACTCAGGCTCCACGACAGATTAAATCTGCACAAAAACTGACAGGCACTGGCTGGTCCGATCACTGTTTTGGCCTAGTAAAACTGCTGCACGCGTATCTAGGATTGGAAGCCACTGCGATGTGCGACACTTGGGCAACACAAATTGATCAAAATCCACAATAAGACGAGACTTCCTCTCTGCTTCCCACCAGGATACCAATCAGCTTCTGGCCCCAAGCAACTGCAATCTAGCATATGGATTAGCCACACTTTAGAAATACAGAGAAATACAGTATCAGCACTGCGAGAACTAGAAGTTGGTGCAGCTACGGTACAGCATGATGAGCAGATCACAGCCCTAAAACCCCAAGGGATGCACATATGATTATCCCTTTGGGACTGGCACTTAAAACTGTTGAGGAGCTTCAGTTCTCCTTAACCAAGATGTAATCACAAAGCCCAGCAGAAGGGGAGGTCAGTAAATGCAGAGGTGAGGGGAAAAAAAAGAAGCAGATAAAATTTTTGTGAAGCCAGAAGCAGCTAGAAAACTCCCATCAGCTCAGTTTGTTCAGATTTCCCTCATCCCCTTTCAAATTCCAGCCAGGGTGATGCACCTCTTTTACATGCAAAGAAAACAGATCCGTCAAGGATCCACTAGTGACTAGGAGATAGATTTGCTACAAAGGGGCTTTAGAATTAATTGCAGAACCAAAAAAGCCAAGATGCAGATTAGCGATAAGAACAGTGTCTCATGACGGCCTCCCCCACAACCTCAGTTCATTCCCTGCTGCGTGATGGCTTCTACAAATTGTACCTTCCTTGGGCAGGTGATTTTACCTTTAAAGCAATGTGCATCTAAAGACTGGAAAAACTGACGATCATCACCAGGATTTGATGAGAACAGGTCACAGAGCGATACAGTTCTTTGTACAGTACAATACAAGCAAATACAGCCCTGCCCTCTAAATTCAGGCTAGAGATCTCCCAGGAAAAACAACAAACTTTACAACTTTTATGTAAGATTCTTCATATGAAAGAATGCCCACAGGGGAAAAACAAAAAGCTAAAATGAAAATGATATACAGATCAGCACACAGCAAGGACAGCACAGTGAGGATGGGAGAAGGCAGGAACAGGTCAGACGCAAGTGAGAGCAGAAGCAAAGGTACCGCCGTCAGGGTTTGGAGTTGGCCGCGGGGTATCTGCAGTCGATATCAATGAAAAGCTATATAATCAAACCATTTTATCTACAGCAAGGCAGCCGCTCAGAGAAAAACTGTCCCACAAGCAAGCAAGCGAGTGCACGACCACCTATCATCTTAAAATAGATTTGGAGTTGTCATGTTACTGTGATGTCAGTGCCTGGAGGGACATCTCTGAAAAACAAGAGGTGTTTACACTTCACGCTGTACTTCACGGACCCAAGCCTCCGATTGCACACATGCGTACATTCTCACACGCAGAAGCGTTACAGGGGTCGCCGGCAATAGGAAGGAGAGGGAAAATGTGTTATTCAATAACAATACTTGTTACTATCAAATAACAAACAGGTTATTGAATATCAATACTCACACTCAGCGTAAATCGGGGTAGTTGGTAGTAGCATCAGAGACTTGAAAACCATCAAGCAAACAGGCTTCCTTGCTCCCTATTAAAAGCAGCGTCCACTAAAGGGGATTCCACTTAACTTTGATTTTTAAATTTACTTTGGAGCGCTAGTGAGGCCAGTGACTTGATTTTGTGGCTGTTTGAAATATCCTGTGATTAGCATAAAGCAATACTTTGCATTTATGTGGCACTTGACACACACACACACACACACAGCATGCTGGGGAAAGCCAAAGACCTGGAACTGTTAACTGCTGCGTAACCAACCCCAACTCATCCAAAGTCAGCAGTGGCTAGAAGTCATCACGAAGGCTGTCTTGTGGGTAGTGGAGTCACTTGGCCTATTTCTTCATCATTTATTTTCAGATGCTAATTATAATTAATATGCAATAGTATCCAGAAGTATCTGTCAAAACTGGGGTCCAGTTGCTCTGTACATCATGCATACAAAGATATTCTCTTCTCCTGAAGGCAGGGCAGGGTGGCAGGATGACTAACTGGTTCAGAGACAAACTTTCTTGATCTTCTGTGGTTTCTGCACATTGCGAGGAGTTGAAACAATTTTACCTAAGCGCTACCAAATAAAACCTTGGCTTACACAGGAAGCAAGCTGAAACCGGCAGCTTAGACACAAAATTAAGGCACACAAAGGATCAGACTGAACAACATCAATGAGAAACTTTAATTCTACCAGAAGTAGGGCCATTTTCTTTTTTTAAAATTAAGTATCTCTGGGAAGTCAAGTTGAGTTTACACAGGAAGCTTTAATAAGGGCAAACCTCTCATTCAAATCTACCTGCTCTCATCCCTGCACACACACACGCACGCACACATATCTCATCCCTGCACACACACATGTGCACAGGTCTGATAACTTGGAAAACAAAAGGATGTGCTACAGGGTGAACTCCCCCCCAAAATGGATTGAACTAAAACCCACGACAAAACAGCTCAAGTCACAACCATCTGGGGGCTGCTTGGCAGCCCACATGAACTGAACCGACAGCTCCTAGTGCCCCTCGCACAACATCCCCCTCAACACAACTCAGCAGGCATCAGCCTGAACTTCACTTCTCATCCCTGCCGTAAGCAGGACGCCGCAGGGCAGAGCAGCGGGACGCTACGAGGAATGAGTTTATTCTGACGTTGTCTGCACTCAGACTGCTTTACAAGCTGCTGTCACTTGCCAGGGCTATTCCTTTAGCACCACTCACCAACACTCACACTCGCCTATCATTTAACTGCCAATTTTAAGCTGTCCAAACACAGCTTTTAATTCATTGTTTGGAACGCGATCATCACGCAAACGCAACGAGTGCAGAACTCCCTGCACGGACAGACACATCCAGCCGCTCGCCTGGGTTCCTGAGAAAGGAGAGAGGGAGGTGAAATGAAGACAGAGATAACACTGCCCGCCGCAGCAGTCTGCCCTCAGGTAAGAAGTGGACAAACAGCTTCTGGAGATCAAACCCTCCAGTGTGTAACCTCATCCCAGTTCACCAGCATCTGCTCCTGACAGATCCCATACAGATCTCCCTCTCTCTCACACACACATACACACTTTGGCAAAACTTGTACTCGTCAGTAAAAACTTGCTGAATTTGAACTTCATTGCAATTTTAGTCCGTGTAAGTCGCAGAGATTCGCCAGATTTCTGACACCCACGAAGAAATAGATAAAAACCCTGCTCTGGCGCCCGGCCTCACGTGGCACTTCAAGCTGAAGCACCTAGAAGCGACTGAAACAGATCTACTAAGTGTTAGAAGAAACCAAGGACAACTCCCATCTTAAAACGTCTCCCCGTTCGCTTAGCAGAATATCGTGCGTGCCCATTTTTCAGAGGGGCTCACGGTGCGGCAAAACGCAGCAACGTTTCCCTACGTGGCTGTGGACAGTCCAGCTCTCCCGGCCCAAATGATCCCGTAAGTCTTGTTATTCTGAAAAGGCCAAAGCACAGGTTGACCGTGCGCGTGGGGAGCCCCCATCGCAACGTAACAGACGGGGCTCCGATCCCAGACCCCCATGCACGTTTCCGCCGCCCGTGCAAGACATCGCGGTCCTCACCGACAGCGCGCAGGGCACGACCGCCACGGGGACAGCAACTACAGGGACACGCGCCGCACGCCGATCCGCGCAGGAGACAAAGCGGCGACTGACGAACGTGCCCCGCACACAGCGGGTTTTGGGGTATAAAACGAGTCACGGCATAAACGTGAACAGATCCCGCATCAGCGTCGTCCCTCCCCCGGAGCTGCGCCTCATCAGAGCCCGTCGACGGGGCGGGGAAGGGAGTCATCATCATCACCCCAGAAACACGGGGGACCCGTCCCGCGGGGATCAGACGCACCTAAGGGTGCGAAGCGCACGTCCCAAGCAAATGCAATCTCCGGGAGGCTTTTGTGTGTGGCTGTGGGGTCCCCCCCTGCCCCTCTGCTAGCGGGGGGGGGGGCTCACGAGGGGCGTCTGCCTGCACCCCCCCTCCCCGCGGGGCACGGCCTGGGGGGGCGCCCCCCGCCCAAC